TCTTATGTACTTCAGACATATTATCAGGAGAGACTAATCCCTGGGGATTTGGTAAGGAAGGGTGGTTCAAAAGAGGAAGGCCCTCAATGAGACGGACTGTTACAGAGGCTGCATTAATGAGCTCAGGCACAGAAGAACTGTGAGGATGGTGCAGGACTGTGCTGAGTTTCATTCTGTTGTGCATGGGGTTACTATGGGGCTGGGTAACTCGATGGCACCTAATGAGAACAACAACAATTTCCAAATTCTGTGCATCAAAATAAAATTATATCTTTGATAACTTCAATCTCTTTTCCATATATCATGAAGTTGCTTATTGGTTCAGATGTGAGAATTTCTGTTTTATGTTGAGTTCTTTGAAACTGAAGGCTGCAGCCTTTGATCTTCATTAAAACGTTCTCCAAATCTTCACTTTCAGCAAGCAACTTTGTGTCATCTACATATAGCAGGATGTTAATGAGTCTTCCTCTAGGTCTGATGATACATTCTTCTTTATAAAATCCAGATTCTTAGATTATGTGCGCAAGACACAGACTGAACAGGTATGATAAAAGGATAAAACCCTGATGCATACCTTCAGTAATTTTAAACCGTGCAGTATCTGCTTGGTCTCTTCGAAGATGACCTGTGATCCACATGCAGGTTCCACATGAATAGAGTTAAGTGATCTGGAATTCTCATTCTTTGCAATGTTATTCATAATTAGTTATGGTCCACACAATTGGATGCCTTTCCATAATCAATAAAATACAAGCAAACATCTTTCTGGTATTTTGTGCTTTTAGCCAAGATCCATCTGACATCAGTAATGATATCCCTTGTTCTATAGCCTCTTCTCAAATCAGTTTTAACTCAAACTATTGAAAACTCAAAATATTGCACACAGTAGTAGGGGCCAGAAAGGCAAATATAAAACTAAATGTACGTGGTTGGTGAAAGGCAAGAAATGAAAGATGACTCCCAAGACGCTGAGTTGGCAGACTGATTGGCGATACTGACAAGACACAGTAAAAGGAGGTTTTCATAGAAAGCTGAGTTTACTTTTAACATCCAAAGCAGAGATTTTTACAAAATGCAACTCAGGAAAAGAGATAACATCCTGACAACATATTTGGTCTTATCGTTTACAGTTCAATGTTACTGTGTAACTGGTAATTGAATACATAGTAGCAAATAGATCTCTCAGTGATCTACAGAGAGGAAAAGAAATTATGACCCAAACATCTCTTCTCATAACTATTTTAATTAAGTTTTAATGCAGAGGGTACAAGTAGAGTGTTCACTATTACAAGAACACTAGACTATCAAAACCATGTTCACACTAATACATGAAGCACATGGATGGAGAAGTAAACATAGTAACATGCTTTTAAGTCAATGTTAATTGTAGCATTGGTCAGGTGTAGTGGCTTAAACGTTGGGCTGTTACCAGCCAGGTCAGCAGTTGAAACCCACCAACTGCAACTCAATCAACACTTACTGAGTATGTGTACCATGTAAAACATGCTGTAATAAGTAGAGTAGGAAGTACAAATATGAGTAACACAGACCCTACATCCTTTCATAATTCAGAATAAATGGCAAATTAAGAGTTTTACCTGACTAACTCGATTTACTTCCTCCTCTTCTTCCTCAGCTTCCTCTCCAAAGGAAAGTAAACTAAAATTTCTTGTGGGGAAAAAAAAAAGAAGATATTAAAAAAGGAATGAAAAGTTAAATTGACCAATCTCATCTTCAAAGAAATTGAAGAGAAAAAAAAGACACTCTACTTATCATAAGAGACAAATAAAATCATTCTAAGTAACAAGAGATAGTATTAGCAAATATTCAGCAGAAACATACTAAGGATTAACATTTTCAGTATCATATGAAACTTAAGGCTGTGACCTTTGGCCACAAATGCATCACATTTGCTAGGCAAATGACCAGTGATCCATCCTGAGCACTACCATTAAAAGTCCTGGGAGAAAAATGACAGAAATCGGCCAACTTTTAATATTGTTTACATTTAACAAATCAGGAGCAAAGTGGAGATTCCTAGAAAACGAATAAATTTATAGCTTCAAGGGTACTATAATTTCAAAGTAATCAAATCTAAGATCTGCTACAATGTGTCCTAGTATTTAAAAATAATAAAATATATAAAATTATCAGACTAAAAAATAATTTAAGCAATAAACTTAAGTAAAAAGTCCTTGGAAAGAAAAAAAATGAGCTTGTCTCTTTTGATCCTTCAGAATAAAGCAGAAAGCTTTATTTATGTGCTTTTAAAGCACATAAAATAAAGGAAAATATTAAAATTATCTGGGAAGCACTGAGAAAATAAAAGATTTAGTCATGAAAAAGGGTGATTTAAAGCTAACTGCAAAGGAGAAAGAAGCTCTGCTGGCATAGTGGTGAAAGCACTGAGATAGTAACCAAAAAGTCAGTGATTCAAACCCACCAGGCCCTCCATGGGACAAATATATGTTAGACTGCACTGAAAAGACTGACAACCTTAGAAATCCTCTGGCACCATTCTACTCTGTCCTGTAGTCACAGTCAATATCAACTTGACAGCACTGAGTTTCTTAGATGTAATCAGCAAACATTACATCATCCCTATTTTTGCTGTAAATGTTAAAAATACTCTTTTTTAACTGCTTGCTAAGATAAATCATAGTGGTAAAAAATTATATCTGAATATGGCATGACCTTTCACTAAGAGCTAAATGAATCCAAATAAATCAAAGAATGAAAGAATCAAATATAGAACTACTGTATATAAAAAATTATTTTGCCTTAAACCAGTAAATGTTTATTAAAACATCTATCTCATGTCTGACACTTTATAACAGCAACTTTACTTATTTATTTGATATACTTTATAACAGCAACTTCCTTTTTTAAATAGGGTGTCAAGGTGAAAACTAATCTGCACTGAATATCAAATCTAGTGGGTACTTCCACAAGCCACTTCTCATTTAATCCTCATAAAAACCTAGGATTAAACTTATTATAATCTCCACATTACAAAATGAGGAAACTAAACCCCAGAAAGACAATCACTTTGCCTCTTATTAACTGGGTTAGGTAGGATTACATCTAGAAATCTCACGATTTTCTAAGTACAATAAAATCCCTAATGTGGATGCTGTAATTCAGTCAGAATACATTGAAATCCAACTTACCCCGTTTCCCCGAAAGTAAGACAGTGTCTTATATTAATTTTACTTCCAAAGATGCGCTGGGTCTTATTTTCAGGGGATGTCTTATTTTTCCATGAAGAAGAATATGGTAAACATTTTATTATTTATTATTTTATTGTTTTATTAAAATAGACCTTGCACTTCCTGTCTGCTCTGGCTGCACTGCAGCCAATAGTGAGC